CAGCTATCACTTCAAAGCTCTTTTGTAATTGTTGCCCAGTACAGTTCCTGGCTTAAATTAGATGCTAATTCTCAAAGAAGGCTGACTTCAGTAAAAACTCTTTGGGTAGGAGAGATTACAGGCTGGACTAATAACTAATCCACCACACTTTGTGTTGAACTTTTTTCTGTTCTTCTTTTTCCAGCTCAGAGGTTTGTGGAAACTTCTGCCAGTTGTGTTTGGAATTTGATTCTATTACCTTAAACTAAATTTTATTTTAATCTTCAAAAAGATGAACACTTTTGACAAATAGGGAGTAAAAGCAAAGAAGAAGAAACAGATGTACACACAGAATGGTGTCACAAAAGCTAAGCATGGTTAATTTGGCCTGTCTTGCTGATTGTGTTACTAGTAGTTCATTGAGGATCTTATCCTTGAATTTCTTGAAGAACAGCTGGAAATGAACTTTAACATCTTGACTGGACAGTAACGTTTTGAAGGTGACTTGAATAAACATATACTGTATTGCAAAATGATTCAGACCCTTACTTATCGTACCTCCTTCTGTAAAATTACAAAATAATGCATACACATTATTTTAAGCTTAATATTTTAAATCAAATCCCGGATGATCAAACTCAAGACCTCTAGACTTCTTCTGGGGTAAGAACATCACAGTAAATGTCAGAATCTTCAAAAAATTCAAAAACTGAAATATGTGGAAATAAGTCTTCAGACCTGTGCAACTCAATATTTTGAAAGCAGAAACTTTGGCAGCAATAACATCTGCAAGTGTCTTTTGGTAAGTGGTAAATCTCTAACAGCTTTGCCCACTGTCTTTGTCCACTCCAGTATAGCTTTGATCTTATACTTTGGACGATTGTCCTGCTGAAAAGTGAAATTGTGTCCCAGGTTTTCCTCTAAGATTTGCCAGTGCTCTGAGCCTTCTGTTACCAGCAGCTCTGACAAGCTTCCTGGTCTCTGTTGGTAAGAAACAAAACTATATCATAATATTTCCTCTACCATGTTTGAGAATAGGGACAGTGGACAGTTCACTGAGTTATATACTATGTTGGGATTGTATGAAATGCAAAGCTTCCAGATCAAAAAGTTCCAATTGTGTTTTATTTGACTACAAAACATTTTGCCACATTTTAAATTAGGAGCTTTGTTCAAAGCCCATGTGGGATTTGAGTTTTATTTAGTCCCATACAAGCCCTTTTGGAGTAATTGGGATATTGTTGACCCACAGACATTTTCTCCCATCTCAGCCACTGAACTCTGTATCTCTTTGAAAATTGCCATTGGCCTCACAGTTGAATCCCTAAAAAGTTTCCTAATTGCCTGACTGCTCTGTTTGGAGAGACAGCCTGATCTAGGCAGTGTCTGGGTGTCTTCCAGTTCTTAACGATGGATTTCACCATGCTAAGGTTTTAAGGGTCTTTGAAATGTCACACAGGGTTTTTAGACCCTGTGTGTACAGTGCACTTATACAACTTCTCCATAGTTACATCTTTGCTTAAAATGCACCACCTTATTCCAGGACCTTTCAGAAATAGGTGTATTTATTTGAGCCACTATTATTACACAAAGATTCAATTCAGCTACTAGTGTCATTTGTTAAGGTAACTTTGTCCACCTAAAGAACTGTAGGTTTGTCACCACAAACTGTTTGAACACTTATGCTATTGCAATTTAAACTTTTTCTTTCATATTCTTTTTACTGCTATCTTTGTGTTTTTTTGCTTTGAGTATTCCTACTTTAAAGTGTCGTGACTAATATGACTAAAATATGAAAAATGTGAAGTATTTGAAAACTTTTGCAAGGCTAGACACTTGAATTGGTGTCTGTTACTAATCCCACAACATGAAGTAGCTTTTGAGCCATTTTGAGCCAGAAGACATGCAAGAAATTGTGGTTGTTTGATTCCAGAAAGAGTTTAAATACACCTGTTAAAAAGGTCTACTTAGAAGTAGTAAACTTTCAGAATACTGATATTTTTTAGATTTGCAGTCCTGTTGTATTTATGACTCATCATTGCTAATAGATCAAGCCACATCAACTAAAAATAATGATACAGAAAAGAAGTGATAAATCCACTTAAAGATACTATGCAAACTACTTCAGCTTTCAAGTTTGATAGGGATTTAATATCTAGCTGCTTTTGATGAGAAAATATATTTGGCTCCACAGGTCGTGAGGTATTCTTGACATTTCTTGACTTGAGAAGCACCAGCATTCTTAACATTTTTTGTCATTGTCATTTTCGGAAATCTCACAACTCTAAGTACACTATATCTATATCTTTTTAATGTTATTAACCTGCAATTAATGACAGGATGGGCTGAAACAGAAAAAGAAAGGACTTAACTGTAATTGCATGGTTTATAAACTTAAATTTACCAGCTGCTAAAGCTGATTAAATTTGTTCTCCACCTGATGAACAGTATATCATTATTTATGGTTCTGAGCCGATTTTTTGTTTGAAAGTGCATTGTATTGCCTAAACATATATTTATATTATTTAGTTTGCACTGCGCCGGTTTTGCAATCGAACCTCATCTAATTTATCACTTAAACAGTAATGTTTGCATTCAAATGTGAAAATGAAATTTTCATTTCCCATGAAACAGAGCTGATAGCTGAAACATTGGTAATGCATTGGGTTTTCTCTTCACTGTCTGTCTAATAAAGAATATTGAAGTGAAAATAATTGACCGTTTGATGAAAGGCCAAGAAGTGTGTTGCTTTATATATAGACCGCACTACAAATGAAGTGGAGTGCAGAACTCCCAAATTAGACAGCAAGAGCTTGCAAAAAACACGGCAATGAACCTTAATGAAGAACAGCCATCTTTGGTTTTTCACGTCAGCTTTTCTTCTGGGTATATTTAGTCCTGCAAAATTAAAACATGAGAACTGACTGTTTCTCACTTCCAACCACAAAGCGCAGATGCTGTCAAACAATGCTTTAAATGTGTGGCCTAATTCCAGCTTTGAAGTCTGACGCTGTGTCCAATGGTCTATTTTAATCGAAAAGTTACAATTGTTTTTTTTGCCCCATGTATGATTCTTATGGACACACTTTGCAACTTGGAATGACGAAGAGGAGTTTAAATAAGCAAAAGTGCTACCTATGAACTACAGATGGCACTATTGTATCAGGTTGAAACAGCGATTAAACATGAGTGAGAGGCAGGCTGTTGTAACACAGCATCTGCAAGCAAGTAATAATCTTTACAAACTGCGCACTTTGATTTGTTTGACTGAGGGGCCACAAATTACCTCTCAAATCAAACCTCTTGCATTCTCCAAAGATTTGGTTTGGTGGCTCCTATTCACATAACACAAGCTGTCAGTCGCTAAGCAAAACACGTTGGTTCATACCAGCACCTCCGTGAAAAACAGATGCCTGCAAACCATTTCATTACAAGCAGCAATTAAATTGGTTTTCCCTTATTTAAAACAAATCACATTTTTCCCCAGAATCCATATGTTCAGCCATCAGAATTTCTCACTGAAGTGTAACAGCAGTAAAAAAAAATTAACCAACATGACTGGACCCAATAAACAAACCCAATGGATCTAACAGCTCTTGTGAGAGTGCAAATGATATAGGATGTTAATTAGACATACTAATTATACAATGAGATATAATACAGTAAGAAACCAGACATTTCTTTTGGTTACCATTTTTTGCTTCTAATGAGTGGCAATATGCTATTCATTACTAACTAACTTAAATTACAGACCTTTCCTCATTCATGTAAAATGTATTTGATACAACTTTTTTTTTTTAATTGAAGGGTGTGACTTAAAGCTGGAAACTGTGTGAAGAGGACTTTTATATGCTGGCTGGATATCTGTGTTTTAATGAGACTTTTTTTTCTTCTGAATTATTTAAGCAGATTCTGTTTCTGCCCATTTAGAGTAGCTGAGTGGCAGTTACATTGGTTCATATGTGGAACAAACTGAAGAGAAATTTCCAACTTGCTTATGGAAGAATAAGATGACTGGAAATCTACCCAGAGCTCAGTGATCAGAACCTTCTTCCCTTTGAAAACACAAAGGCCTTCTATATAACTATACTTTATATATAAACTCCAAGTAGGTGCTCTCTTGAAGCACAGCTCGAGACCCATATCCTCGATTTCTCTTGTTATATTGCATTAGGTGACTAACCAAGTCTGTATTGCCTAGCTGTTTATTGGAACTAAAAATGCATTTCTCAAGTGTTCACTAGATTTGAGAGTACCTGATATTTCTGAAAAAGGCTTTCACACAGTCCTGAAGATATTTAGTTTCCGTTGTGCTGGGGTTTCCAAAATCCAGCAGGTTTTCTACATCTTTAAACAAACAACTTAAAGCTGAGAAGGAATAAACTGGTCTAATTAAAACTGAAGTGGATTAATTTAACTCAAGTTCCAAGTGAAAAGCTGTCTTTTCGCAGAAAGACAGAAAACCTGTTGACTTACAGACTTCCAGGATTTGCATTGGGAACCCACTGTGTGTCCTTACATTAGTGCCTGATACATCATGCCCAGCAGGTTAACAAAAAAAGACTAAGGTCTTTTAAAAACACGAATGATAATAAGGTTCCACAGACAGACAGAACTCACAACTGTGATGGGGGAACCTGGGATAGGTGGCTGCCCTGTACTTTTCATATAAAAAAGGGCACTTCCCTAATTGGTCATGTGCTTCCGCGGCTGGGTTTGCTGAAATCGACATACCTTTCCCCAGCTGACGGTACAACACTGACTGTGTGGATCTACTCAGTGTGTTAGTTTACAGTGACGCCAGGAAAATGCTTGCTTGTCCTTCGATCTTTGGTAACGTTCCCATAAAACCCTGGGGTTATACAGCATGCCATACAGCAAATGGCTCTGAAGAGCAATATTGGAAGCAATAGTGGTATAGGGGCTGATGTAGTACAGTATGTTACATGTACGTATGTGTAGACGTGTCTATCAAATAGTTTATTCCAACTGCATTGAAAATAGAAGGCTGAAGGACTCCCTTTGGACGTTAACAATGTGTGAATTTATTGTTATATCTGCAACAAAACATAAATTAATTCACAAATATACTCAATGTCAGGTCTAGAAGCAGCTCCAAGAGGACAACATTGAGTCGGAAACGGAACAAAGGCAGATACCGTCTACATGCTGTTCACACAAATGCATTCTGATCTATGGTCTTTTTTCCATTTAATTTTCATTATTAAAAAAAAAAATAGAAACATTACGACGACAACAATGAGCCGACGTAGCTCCGAAAAGAAAAGACATTGCGTACGATCCTGAAGCTGGAGTCCAGCTCTTCATGCTTGTGAAGAGTCTGATGGGGCTTTAGGATTGTGTAATCTGCATGGTTTCCAGCATCTCCTCCACCGCCTTCAGAGAACACTTGGTCTCCTTTGTTCCTCGTCCCGCCAACTGAAAAGAGGGAAAAAAAAACTTTAACAGGGCCAAGATCTTCATAAACGTCTCTTGGTAGTGGATTTCCATTTTGACACGTTCATTCCTAAGGGAAAATGAGATGACACTGTCGTATGGTCAGAACATGAGAACAATCGAGTGTTCTTGCTGGAACTTCACTGCTGGATCCTGTTTGAATTTTAAGTACCAAAGACAAACGGATAAACCAAGATCAATTTCAGTTTTCTTCTGAATGCTCAAAAAATGTACAATGCTGTGGAAATGCTCATTTCAATAGTATTTCAATAGGGTTTTTCAATAACATTTTCAATAGAACTGCCTTACATAAGATGTGATACATTAAAGAGCATTGTAGGAAATTACACCCCTTTATTTTCATTTATAAGTGCACCAACTGTAATACTCCCCTTTTTGAGTTTAACAGACAGTATTCAAAAATGTCTTTCAGAAGCAGTCTTCAAATAAACTTCCAGCCTGTTCCAGTCTTTCATTTATGGTAATTATACTTGATAAAATTAAACAACATGAACATAATACATGCCAATTTGCATAGTGTATGAGGATATTTAAACGTACAACACAAAATGTGAAACACAAACTTCTAAAACTGGTTTAAAATAATGGCATACTTATACTAGAAATTCACAATTTGTACAATCAATATCTTTTCCCTTTATAAAAAAGGGAAAGAGTCATTTTCAACTGGAATATTATGGAAGATGTTATCTAGGGTTAAGGATTCTGTTGCCTACACCTTTCTGGTAACTTAGAGTTTATTCCATTCATGCACACCAGTGAAAAAAACCAAACACTCCACTCCTGGATATAAATGTTTCCATATTTTAATCTTGTTTTAATTATTTCTTTAAACAAGCTTTTTCACAATGTGCATGGAAGCTTCACGAAGCTCGGAATAATAGAGTGGGAGGACTGGGAGGTCACTGCAGTCCCTGTAGCCCAGAACAGAACTCAAATCAAATACGAAGAGAAGGGAAGCTATTCTGCACATCAGAAGAAATAGGTTTTAGGCAACACAAAGATGGTAAGAAAAGAACCTGATTATGCATCGGCTAATTAAATGCGGTACAATAATCTTTGTAAAAGAGCCTAGTCCAAATGAGTCACCGCATAAAGTCTTGGCCTTCCACCACATGCTCTGGGCTCAGTCCCAGCTCCTTTGCTTTCCATCTCAGTAGCTCGCTTTCCGCCTCTGTCCAGATAGAGGGTGTGACGCACTTTGACTATGCCTTCAAGACAGGGCTCAATTAAAGCACCCATTTACAATGAAATCCAATCCCCTCAGTCCCTCGATCTCTACCAGGGCTACTTTGAACCGAGTAAACTGGAGATCAACAGAAGATATCTGAACAAATGATTTTTCGAGCTAGGCTAGAACTTGGCTAGAACTTTTTCTCCCCTGAAAGGGAACCTGACATTAGCCTGGAAAATATGTCATGCAAATGGCAGTCAAGTCGGTTGTGATTACCGTTTCACCACGACAGCTTTTGGGTAGGTGGAGTGTTTAACTCCGTCAGATTGAAGGATGGCCAATTGTAACATGTGTGCATCAAAAGAGGCATCTGCACTTAAGTAAAAGAAAGCACTTTGTATCTTGAAATTGATTTTAGCATAATAAATTAATACACTGAGAAAAGAGGATTAGAACCTGAAACTACAAAAACCAAATATTCACATAGTGAACTATGGGTTTCTGGCACTCCAAAGGGGGAATTTATGAACATTCTTCCACAGAAAAGTCCTTTAAATCCTTTGGTTTCCATAACTGAATTGCCATTTTGAGTTAGAATCACAAGTGATATGTAATTTTTTTTTGTTATGTGAGGTTTATTGTTCCTATTTCACCAGGGACAAGTAATAAATGTATATTTGGGAGCTCTTTTCTCTGTACTATCTCTCAAACCTACCTCTACTTAACACCTAAGAACAATAGGGAAGGTTACCCACATCAAGAGGCCCATTTAACCCATCTACTTCATTTCATTATTTTTACCTCCTTGATCCAAGGATCTCATCTGGCTGTTCCTTGAAAGAAGTCAAGGTATCAGCTTCAACATCATGGCTGGCTTAGCTTGTTCGGCTCCCCTAACCCTTTAAGCAAAAGCAGTAAGTACCTCCTGTTCTGTTTTTAAATGCACAAATGCAGTCCTGTAAAATGGTCTAGATTTTAAACTGTAGAGTCTGAAGATGATCACTGAGTTGACATCGTCAGTAACTTTTGAGAATGTCTGAATCAGATCGTCCTGTAGCATTCACTGTGCAGGAATAAAAGAACATCTCAAATCTTTTAGCCTTTCAGAGTAGGACATTCCTTTGAGTCCAGAAAGGTATCATGCCGTTTTTCCTGAGTAGCGATACGTTTTTCGTAATGTGCAAACCAAACTATTCTAATTGAGGTCCTATAAGTGTTGGTGTTAAATGACAAGAAGGGATGTGAAACGGAGTTGAATACCTATCAGCATACTACAAATAGATTGGTAGTTAGTTCCCTGCTACAACCTGCAGGACATGTATCCTATGTCACCATATGGAATCATCGGGAAATGATTAAACCTTTGAAATAAGAGATCCCATGTGGGCTCCTTCTCAGCTCATAGCTGTTGCACTGCACCATAACCATTGAAACCAGCAGGTCTAGGGGACGGGACGGGACGTGCAGGACAGCACAAACGGGGACAACTCAGTGACTGGTGATACAGAAACACTATAGAATGTCTCCCATTTGGTTTATGGAAGATGTAGTTCGCACAGGTAGTGAAACGTCTCTGAGTCAACTTAACCTATACCAGGCAGTTTTCTGAACCCAGCTCTCTGAAATGTATGTAAATTTGTGCGCCGAGGCAGGCAGTGTATAGGAACAACTATTGCCTGCTAAGTGACAATCACTAGGAAAGAGTTACACCAGCAGATCAGACATTTTTAACATGACATCGCTTTGTGATGTCTTGACTACTTTGTCTAGTTTGCTAACTACATAAGTACCTAGGACACTGATAAAAGTTAAGCAGAACAGTAGTTGAAATACAGATCCCTGTGGTACATCACTGATTACACAGCCCCAATCTGAACATTCATACTTATTTCTACCCATTAACCAGTTTCCATCTTTTATGTGGACTGGAGCTTTATAAAAAAGCCTTTGAAAATTCAAAATATATCATATGCTTTATATGTATTAATTATTGCTGTTGCTTATTCAAATAATTTTAGTGAAAACAAACATGCTGACTATCCACTATGATCCCATAGCTACACAGTGCTCTAGTTCTAATTAATATTTCCATAAGCTTACATGTAGTATAACCACAGGTCTTTTTAACTACCTGGCTCAGTTCTGTCACCCTTTTTATGGATGGGTGCTCTTAGTAATTTTCCAGTCAATGGGCATTACCCCTGTCCTGACTGACTGTTGGAAAAGTTTTGTTAACAGTCTACAAAGAGCATCTCGTTCCCTTAAGTACAACTGACAGAAGTCAGACCCTTGAGATTTATCTTAAGTGCTTTCAAGACCTGTAACACTTCTTCTCCTATGCTAATACTATTTAATATAGAAGTCTGATTTTGCCAACCCCAAATCACATTATCATCTTCTCTGGTAAACACCCAAGTGAAATCTTAATGTATTAATCTTTTCCCTTTTGATGTGTTTCCCAATTTCATCTGAGATCCTTCTTCATTCTTTACTGATCTGCTGTTAATAGTGATTCTTTTTACCTATATTGCAATGTTATTCTCTCTCTGTCTCCCTTTTTAATTTCTTACCCATAATTGCAATTTATGCTACTCCATTTTTAAAGTTGCTCAAGAATGCCAAAAATTTCACAAGACATTTCAGGCCACTTCTTTTGTAGTCTATGATGTCCAGAATTCTGTAGTTTGCATGTCAACTAAAAGTACTTCACATCTCCACATAACTCCAATTCTTTATAGTACCTCTACATTACAAAACATCCAAGTGAAATTTAGAGGTAACTTCATGGAGATTTTAAAAACACCTGCACATTTTTAAGACATGGCCGAGCACCAGATTACTTTAAGGATTTACTGCATGAATACAGCCCAACACTTAACCTAAGATTTCCTGATTTAGACCTTCATACTATGTAATAAAATTGTATTATTTATACTGGAGATGAATCTGTTCTGTGCATCAAGCAGAATTTCTTAAAAATTCTACCCAGCACTCTCTACCGATTTCACATCTATGCCATTATCCTCTTAAAATTTCACAATTCTAGGAAAGTAGAGTATTGATATGTAAGACAAACTGCACAATTTCCATTTTCATACCGTATAATGATCCCCATTCCCTAATAACTCTCTCATGTTGGTTTTCCTCATTCATTCTTGATTGTCTGAAAATGACAAGATCAATACAAGCTTTGCCTTTATTAAGGTTATCGGACGACCTGAATAAGGTACTAAAAGTAAGCCAGGTCAGTCATTTCAGGTTCAGCTGCGGACACCCCTGAAGGCTTTCCTCAATCCATACAAGGCAAATGAAATTGTCCCACAACTACCAATTCTTTCTTCATGCACACATTCCTGATTTTGTTCAATAAGACTTATTATTGATAACTGAATTTGATGGTCTGTAGCATAAACTACGCAGGCTGAATTCCACTGTGGATTTTTCTGGCCTTCCAAAAATTCTTAATGTGGGCTCCCTCCTCTATATTGAATGCTTTGTAATTTTTTGATAAAATGTACCTTATGCATGCAAGGGATTACTAATCATTATGATCAGCAATCAGTCGAATCAAGCAGTTCATAGGTTCTTTAAATAGTTTGTTCCACCAACACAACATGCAATATGACACACTGAACACTTTATTCATTTTACTGTCCAAAATGATTCTGCAACAATTTGGTAATTTTGTACTTGCATGATTTAAAATGAAGAAGTATCTATTCATAAGACCCAGGATCAGGATCAGGAAGCATTGAAGTTTAATTTTCCATCCTCTCTTCTTTACTTG